CAGTATTAAAATTTTCTTCTCTCACCTTACGCCAAAGACATTGTCCAAGGTGGATTAAACAACCGACTAGTTTGCTTATTGCATTCTGATAAGCCTTTTCAAAATCCACTTATGCTGGCTACTGATACAGACAAGGCAAACAGAATCAGGATAGATACACTACATGGCGATGTCTACGTACAGTGATTATTTCATGTGCATACAAAATTTAGGAGATTTTGTTAAAAAACACCCGTAAAAGTTGGAAATTTGTTTTAAAAATATATTTTGTTTTTAATAAAATATTTTAATGTACACAAGTTTGTAAAAAAAACAACTTTGTTGAAGGTTTTTGTTGTTTATACCAGTTTTACGTTATATGGTGAAATGGTTTGACTTCTATAGAAAATGACCTCAAGTTTCGCGATGAACCCAAGTTTGAAATATGGTGCCGTCGGTCATTAATTTAAGGTGTCTATGGATTGCGCAGTAGGCTATAATTAACTGTCATCGTTATCGCCATCATCATTTAAACATAAAAAGATTATTTCAAAATTTAAGACAAATAAAAAAAATATAAACTGACGAAAATCAGTTCAGCTGTTCTTGAGTTTTACGCGTTTGAACATAACTTGTTCTTTTATATTGTATTTATAAAATAGCATTTTATATATATATATATAGCATTGTATATAAATATATATATATATATATAAATGTATGTATATATTTATATATATATATATAAAGATAGATAGATTTACTAAGCAGTTATTTCTAAGTATTGTGCGATATATTAGTTAACTAAATAGAGATATATTTAAAGCAAACATTATTTATGCTAAAAAACGGAAAATAACCACACACCCAGTTCACGTGTTAAAATTTTCATGAAATATAAATTAGACAATACTTTTGTACAGAACAGGAGTGTAATTTGCTATAAAGCATAAACAATTAAACCCATTTTAATTCCGCAAAAACTAAAATTTTTCAAGACAAATTTTTTCTTAATTTTTCAAAACAAATCTTTTTTTAATTTTAATTTAGTTATTTTATTATATAAATATAAAAATTAGAATAAGAATCAATGAAATTTCGGAAACAAAAACGCTTAATAACTTCATTAGCTTCATAATTTGGAAATGATAAAAATAATGATCTATTGAGTATATTACTACAATGAAGCAAATTTTTTGATTGTGTGAGCTACTTTTATAGATTTTTTAACAGCATTAAACAATTTGTCAATTCAGGAACAACAGCAGAAGAATTTATTACAAAGAATCCGTCAACATCAAATGCATTGATTGATGTGTTCTGTAATGCTATGTCCTTTCTACATAATATTCCTATCAGTAGCATTCAAATATTAACTTTAATTTCACATCAACCTCAGTACGACCAAGATATTATTGCATCAGTTGATGTAATATATGCAACTAAAGATTTACTAATGTCTCCTGAAAAATTGAATGGTTTGCTCTTCTTCCACCAAACTGAAGTTATTTTCTATTTTTATGTCATATTCTAATGTATTGACAAAACATGTCTAAATTTTTAAAGTTTTGTATATAAGATTTTTATGATAATTAAAATGACTCATCTTGTCAAGTAGTTCTTACAACAACAAACACTTCTTCGAATTCTATAAAATAATACCACACACACACACACAAATATCATTGAAAGAATTGGCCCAATTTGCATTTATTATCTTTTTAAATACAAACATTAATCCGCCAGAATTTATTTAACTCATTTGATGAAATGGGATAGCATTATCAGGCTAACAGCAATGTTATTTAGGAAAAACCATCTTAAGAGCCTTGACTTCATTTTCGTTTGGTTGTGCTTTTTTTTAATTTCTTACTTCATATTATAATTTTATATTTTATTAAACTTTAAATTTTCTACCTTTTTTGACTCTAATTTACTGACTCTAAATTAACTGACTCTAATTTTGTGTGTATATATATATATATATATATATATATATATATATATATATATGTTGGTAATAGACCATAATTTTTACTATATTCTAGTTCGTTTTTTCGATTTTTCTCACCAAAGTTTTTTGGTGAACGTTTAGTTTATTAAAATTCAAAATAAACTTATTTTTCGATTTCATGCTGAAAATAATGCCATATTTTGATTCCGAATGAATTATCATCAGTGCTCCTTGCTGTATATATAGGGAAATATTGACTTTTTCAAGATGAACTTTGACGTTGTAAAAATTAAATTTGGTGTTGTAAAATTGAACTTTGATGCGAATTAGGTGTCAGGTTTCGTTATTGGCTGGTCATCTTCTTTGGTCTCCTTTTCTTCATCGATAGCATCATATTCTTCTTTGTCACTATTTACGATGCTAGTTTTTATTACTTCTTTGTTTTCGTTGTTGGTTAAGCGCCGGGTTGGAAGTGAGGTTGTCATTTTTTGTTGTATATTTATTTTTGGTTTATTGATGTCAATTAGGACTGCTTCTGCAATTTTAAGATGCGTGTAGTTGCTGCTCTGGTAAATTACTTTGGTGTTGCTGTCGAGGATTTCACGGCTAATTGTGATTGAGTGTGTTGAGTCCAAATGAGATTTGATAGCACCACTCTGTTTATGCATCGTAAGCCTTCAGTGAAGTAGTAGTAAACTCAAACAATTTGTTCACTAACTTCATTATTTGCCACGTCTTAATATTTCTTTATACATATTTATTGCTAAATAATATTATATCCAATTGTTAAATATCTAATAATTCTTCAATAAATTGTTATATCATTAAATATTATTATCGACTTTCCATAATTATTGTCATATCATTAAATATTATTATCGACTTTCCATAATTTCTGCATTACTTCTTGTCACTATGCTAACTACGTACACTTCAACTACGATAATACACAAACAATTTTATTCTTAATTTTTCTTTTAAATTTATTCGTTTATTTTATTTTCAACAATATAATGAGTTAATTTTAAAATATAGTTTGTTATTCATTTATTTATTCATTTTAATATCTAATATTCTACTTTCTATTTCTTATAATTTATATTATTAACTCCTCATTTGGTTTTACAATCTAGGCTACGACGATGGCATTAGCCGAAACGACCGTCAGCCAAACTTCACAGTTTAATAAAGTTGAAACAAAACAGCTTCGTGTTGTTGAAATTTTATTTAAAAAACTACTAACTGCAAAATGGGGTGTAATCTTCAACCGAGCATATATTTATATATATAGGGTTCAGACCGTTATTAAGAAATATCACCGCATTTTCCGCATTGTTGAGTTCGTAAATAAGTTTTTCAATTTTCAAACAATTATTTTATCAATATTATTCAATTTATTCAAATTAATAATATAATTTCTAATTAGTTTAGGCTGCATTTTTCATATATACCTTTACATAAAAGCTTTTTTCGGTAACCTTTACCATCATCAATGTAATAGAGTTTGTGATATTGTTATATGTAGTTCATCTGGTTTTAATAGTATTTTTAACAAAGGAACTCTAAGTACCATTGTTTCTTTGTGTGAGTAATTTCTTTGTTGGTAAGATCGTTACAGCCTGTTGTTGGATGTTTATTACGGGGTTTCTTTTTTCTGTTAATAAAGCCTATGCCATTCTCAAATTGCTTATATTATGATTGTAAAATAACACTTTGGTATTTGAGTTTAATATTTCCCTTGTTATTTTTATTTGATGTGAATCCATTAGATGATTTTTAATGCGCCATTGTTAACCTTCTTGATAAAGTCGTAGTAGTAAATCCGATATATTCTGTGATATATTTTACAATCAAAAGAATATACTAGATGACTGCTCCTCATTATCAATTCTAGTTTAGTATTGCAATTATTTTTAAGAACAAGGGATGAAGTTTTGTTGTTCGTGTAATAAATTTTAAGTTTTAATTTATCTTTTTTATTGATAGTTTTTAGATTACCGTTTGCAATCCATTTTATTATTTTCTTATTGGTCTTATAAGCTGTTGACATCGTATGATCTCCATCAACTTTGTCATAAGTTTAGCAGTTGGATCACTTCTAATCTTAACAAATTTATCAGTGTTGCCGAGAATGCCATTCAGTTTGTCATTATAATCATCTCTATCCATAATGACATGCATTGGGGTTTTGTCAGCTTTTCGGATAATAATTTTAGTGTTATTTTTTAAAGTTGCTGCAGAATTGATCAATTTCTTCGTAAGAATCTTGTTTTTAAAATTACCTCTTAATTTTTGGCATTCCGCTTTTAGGTCGTTAACAATATTTGTATTAAATGTTATAAGTTTTTGCTTTCCTATTTTCTAATTTGATTAAATCGTCTATTAATTTTTCAACTTCAATTTCTTTTTGAAAATTCTTGGGTTAATTAAAAATTCATTGAAAGATACACTGAAATTTCTGGTACGTGCTTTCGTTCAATCAAGAATTGACTATTGTAACAGTCCCTTTTATGGTATGTCTAACAAGTCAGTTCCCGAATTGCAGTCGATCCAAAATCAAGCACCAAAGTTTATTGTTGGAAAATTGTAATTTTAGCATATAGCACCAATTTTTCGTGATCTCCACAGGCTTACAATTAACAAAAGAATAATTTATAAAATCGCAATCATCACGTACAAAGATTTAAACAGTTTTGCACCAAAATTTTTGTTTTGCACCAAAATTTTTGTTTTGCACCAAAGTTTTGCACCTAAATTTGTGACAGAAAATTTCTGCAAAGCTTGGTCAATAGGGTGGAGTGAAAATTTTTTTTTAATTTTAATACTCCTGTACTGCCAATCAATGACCCATTGTCTAAGATGTGTTCGCGCAAAATTTTAGCCTTTTAAATCAAAATCTTCTGGTGGCGCATCTGGTTTGAACTTTGAAAAAAAATCAACTTTTGATTTACTAACTAAACTTTATTTTACACAATGCTTCTATATATTTTATATTCTGATACTTAAAATTACTAGTACATTTGATAGTTATTATTAAATCAAAATAAAAACAATTGTTCTAATGTTGTTATTCCAAAGTCTCCGCACCTTTTTTTTTATCAAAATACTGAGATTTGGTGTTGAAAATTTGTATATCTTGCCTGGCTTTTATTCTGGTTCGAATAAATCTATCTCTAGCTTCTGGTCCACAAACAGATATTGAAGCCTCTGTCAAGAGCTTGACGCACCTTTCTACTGCCTGAGTGTGGCAAGGATACTTTTCAATTTCAAGAAGATATTTTGAAGAAATGTCATTTGAAATTTCTGTGTCGCTATATTTCATTGTCAGTGGAGGTTCTGTTATTTTTTCTATCGCTCAATCTATTAAATCATAATAGCTTGAGCTCTTAAGCTCTGGAAGTTTTAATTCACGAACTTATTTCCCTTTGGATTATTTTCTTGCTTTTAAAATTTTCCAAAGAGCCAGTTCTCTTATGTGTTCTGCATCATCTTGTAACTTAGCTAGGAATATATTGTCTGGGGAAGCGAAGAAAGCATTTTTTTGAACGGTTTTAAAGACAATGTTTTTTAGGTCATCACGCAAATACAAACACTTTTTAACCATGTTGAACACATGAATTGGACCATATTTACAAGATGATTATGTCTTGATATCAAACCAGGTTGGTGCGTTAACTTTCGTGATAAAATTGACTAATTCTTTCAAGTTTTCTGTCGGGTTAGCTGTTCCAATATATAACCAAAAAATCCTGTTTGCGCAAGTCAACCATCGAGAATGTGTCAGTTTTTCTGGATCTTTAATTGCTAAGTTTTGTGATACCGTACCAGCAGAAATTGCGGAGCCCATCTGATACAGATATTTTTGATCGATACTTAGCAAATCAGTATTCAGGTCTGGCAATTTTGTTGGGATTGGTTCAAATATTTCTACTTTGAAGTCGAGACAGTTGTCGAGCCTTTTTCCTATGCTGCCAGAAAAGCTTTTAGGGCCTGTTGTAGTACCATCGAGACTAGAGAAAAAATGACGAAACGGTAATTCATTTGCGTGTAACAGGCACACAAACCATTGCAAAGGTCGTTTCAGGTGTTTTTATAGTAAAACAATGACTCTATTTTTGTGTCCCGTGTTTACCGCTGTGCCATCGCATCCAATTGCCACCAAGAAAGAACGAAATTCAAATTTCAGTTCAAGGAAATCAACAATGCTTTTTTTCAATCGTATTTGCTTTTCCAGAATCAACAGAGAAATGACCGATATATTCAGAATCTGGCTCTGACAAGAGAGAAATTTGCTCCTCAATAATAGTTTTCCGATGTGCTGTTTTATTAGTAGTAGTCATGACTAAAGTCTTGTCATTACGACTTTCGAAATAAATAGCTGTAATAATTTTATTGCCCTCAGCATATTGCAAATGTTTGCGTACTTTTTTTTGCTATCGACGTATTTTGCTTCTGTCTATTACCTTTGATTAATTGTCTGTAGTAATGACATTCAAATCAAGCGAGGCAGCGTTAACAATAAATGCAGCAGATCGATCAGAAATTCCAGTTCTATCACACGCGGTAGCTAGGTTTTACAACTGACCTCTCATTTGTTGAGTTTCTTTGCCAGATCGACGTGGCGTTTCTATGATGCAAATCTCATCCTCATCTGATATATCAGTTGAAGAACTACCAGATGTTGAAACTATCGTTTAGGTAGACGAAGTACAAATACAAATTTTTTATGAAATGCCTTTATGGTGCACCACCTCGAGATAAAGTCGCAGACTTTTAATTTTTTGTACGAATGATGCTTTCCCATAGGGTCATCGATTAACGATACAGGAAATTAAAAAATAAGGAAAAATTTTTTTGCCAATTGGTCTATTGGTCAAGCTGATAGAGTTGGATTAAGATCTGATAATATGCAACTGCTGAGTGTTTCTTCAACAAGATTGGCGGCTGGTGGAAGAAATATTCGGTAGCAGGACCTAATGTTTAGAACAGTTTACCACTACATCTTTGCCAACCTAGTATTGCGTATTATGAGTTCCGCAGATTGTTGAAATCTCATATACTTAATCAACATTTTTTGAATGACAGTTGACTTTTTCTGTTTTGTTGCACACGTTTACACATATATAGTAAATGTCAATTATAGGTTTTTAGATGACAATTGCCATTTTATATTTTTATGTATGCATATATATTTAATGTCATTATAGGTTTTAGATGGTTTGTAGATAGTTAGATGGTTTGGTCTGTCATTTTATATTTTCCCGTATAAAATGTGCGTTTTTGACAAACTTTTAAAAAGCGCTTATAAATGTTTAATAACAATGGTGCTGTAACTTGCTCGATCGTCAAGTAAATTATTCATTCTACCGTAAGTTCACTAATTTCTGACAGATAAACACAAATGCTTCAAACACAGACTTATTCAAACGTTTATTTGAATGCCAACAGTAATAGAAACACAAAAAAATTCGCTAATCTCGATGTCGCACGATCACCAATAATTCACAGCGCAGCTCCATAATCCAACAACTCCAGTCTCATATTTTACAACTATGGCTGTGCTTATATTGCTGTAATTTTTACCATCGATTGCGCTTTACAAGGATATTTAATTACAACATGGAATTAAAAAATCAAAATAATGACAATCAGTTGAAATTAATTATGCAGCGCAATTCGACAATCAGCGGATATAACATTATTCCCACTTTAACCTGTTAGTTCCAGACATAGGCGTTTTTTGTCTTCCGACGAGTAGAGGCTAATCTATCCAACTGGATAACTTTCAACTTTGCCCTCTGTCTTTTACGATCTTGGATACTGTAGATTACGTCGTTTATTTTGTTAATGACCTTTTACGAACATTTTCAATTTTTTAATTTCTTTGAGTTTCGGGGATCGCTTTTTTTTAGCACCTTGGGTTGACCAGCAATACCAGGTAACTGTTCTCGAAACCTGCATTATTTCTTTTTGGGTCATGTTGGGTTTTGTTGTTTCTGTTTCTACGGCTATAGGTAGACGTCGTGGTCCTTTCTTGGTTTTGTTGGCACTTGAAGCAAGGGCTATTTTTGTTTTGAGTTTACGAGGTGTAGAACGATCAAATGCATGTTGTAATATTTGTTGCTTACATCTTTCCTGCCGATCAGTGATGGAGGGATGAAAAACTCATCTTCATCAACAATGAACGTTGAAGTCATCATCCAAATAGATAAGATGCGCCTTCCTGATGCGCGGTGGGTAGATTTCATCAAAACTTGAACTATCACTTGCCACCAAATCCCTTTTGTTTAACAATTTGTTTTCCCTCTTTCCCTTGAACGTTTCAACATATTTGGTTTAATTAATGTCTGAAATAAATGTGCACATCAGAATTGACATCACCTTCACTTATAACGTTAATCTTTAAATCACTGTTCTTGATAATTTATCTAAATTATCAATAATTGAATTGTTGGTGAGTGTTGTATTAAAATTGTTGTTGTCATTATTGTTAGTATTATTGTTTTTGCTGTTGTTGTTATCAATGATAAGTCTGTTAGTAGTGGTTAAAATTGATTTGTAACTCGCTCTGGTATTGTTTTCCTGATTCTACACTCTATCATTTAAGGAAAACTTTTAACTCTGTTTTTCGTCTAGTTGCTCGTGTCCCTATCTTTTCTGATATATCTTCATATCTTGTTAATGTGCAAGTCTCATTCTAAATTATTTCCTAAACACTTAACAGATATATTAATTTAAACTAATCACCCCGGTTCACGATCGTTCACACCCCGGTTCACGATCTTTATTTTATTCTTTAAAAATCAGGATCTGACAGACGCAGAAACTGTTACAGCATGCATGCAGTAGTATAAAATTAAACGAATAAGTAAATAAATAAATAAATAAACGGAAAAAGAAAAATGTTTAAACATAAAATAAAAAAGAAAAAATAAATAATAATAAAATAATAAAAATAAATTGACAATAAAATGAAGTAATGGTATAAAAACGCAAATTAATGGACTAGATGATGATCTAGTTAGTGAGGTAATCGATGAATAAAAACTAGTTGTGTAAATGATAATTTTTCATTTAGTGTGAATATGTTTGAGGTGTCTTGTAATGAAGATTGATATGTAGATTGGGTGGCGACTTGATAGTTATGCTTGCGTTGACGAAGGTTGTGTTGTAGTTTTAATTGGTGGTAGTAGAGAATGGATGACGTGGTTGTTGTTATTTTCTACTTCTTATTCTCACTCTTATGCTAAATTTGCGTTTGCTTTTTTGAAAGTCTCTACTTTTTTCTCTAACTAGTTTACCATCATTTGCCAAAGCAGAGTGGATCTCAAGACTCATCTGTTTGTAAAATTGACTAAGTAGCACTATTAGACATCTTGGAGACAGCGCTTTATATGCTGATTGATTGATTGATTGATTGATTGATTGATTGATTGATTGATTGATTGATTGATTGATTGATTGATTGATTGATTGATTGATTGATTGATTGATTGATTGATTGATTGATTGATTGATTGATTGATTGATTGATTGATTGATTGATTGATTGATTGATTGATTGATTGATTGATTGATTGATTGATTGATTGATTGATTGATTGATTGATTGATTGATTGATTGATTGATTGATTGATTGATTGATTGATTGATTGATTGATTGATTGATTGATTGATTGGTTGGTTGGTTGGTTGGTTGATTGACCTCTGCGTCATTATTTTCATCTTACGATAACTACTTCCTTTCTTCACGTTATCACGTGCATTGCAGTCAAAATTATCCCTGGGAAGGATAAACTTGCGATCGTAAATGTAATTGTAAGTAGTCGAATAAGCTGGTGAGATGATAGGATTGGCCAAGTTCATTTTTTTTCCTCACATTTACCCAATGTGATCAAAGATAGACAAAAAACATATTATAATGTTTGACATATGAAATATTCTTTTTAAAATTAAAACTTTACCAACAAAAATTTCAAACTTATTGGGTGAGTGTATCCACAGTATCTTTAGACGTTTTATCTGTAGATGGTCTGTTCAACCATTGAACAAAAAGTAGATCGTTTTTTTTATTACGTCGCACTGACGCAAATTTGTCGATATTTCACTAAAATTACTATCGTTGTCGTAATCATATGCACGTTCGTCAACCATTATTTTCATAATTGCTATCGGCGCGCACACCACAGGTCACATTATTACCTTTAGCTGTGCAGTACAGCATGGTTTTCACTTATTTCTGTACATCATTGAAACGTTGCCATGCGCACTGAAAAAGTTAGTATGGCCGGTTTAATTTCATCCGGGCGATTTTACGATGTAAACTTCTCAACTTTCGAGCCACGAGAAATAATTCCACACAAATTATTTGCAACAAAACAAAGAAGCCTGTCTGTCTTGAGCACTAAACAAACCGATGTATCTCAAAAATCTGTCGCAGATTATTTCTTTATCAGCAAAATCTGGAAATTCAGGCAGGTCAATTGCGAGTTCGATGTTTTAAAACGCTCACACTTTGAATAACTTTTTTAACTTTAAAATATTTTTTAAGCGACGTAATCAATTCTTTCATTTTAAGTTCTTGAGTATACCAAACGTAACAACAAAGAATCAAAAATAAAATTTTTATTCTTAAAAATTTTTCTGTTTGCCATTATTGGAGTACTGTATGTTAGTGTATGGATCATGGATATATATATATTATATATATATATATATATATATATATATATATATAACGTAGTAAACAATCAGTTTTTAACCGGTCGTTTAGCGATTATCGTCCCAGTTGCTTTTTCATGTCAATTTATTGACATTTGATTAAAAAATTTGTCTGAAATTTAACAATAAATTACGATAGTAAGACGTTTGATTGTAAAAAAAATCAATAAAATGTCAATTACTACGTAAAAAAGTTTAATGTTTACGCGTTTAATTCCATAGAACTAAGATAAATTTTTAGACAGGTAATAGTTTTTATGTCACATCAATTACATTCATGTTATGTATATATAAAAATCCTCCCCTATACAAATGTTTTATATAGATATATGACAGATCAACTATTTTCACCCCTACGTTTTACGAATTTATATATATATATATATAATAAAGCGTAATCACGTAATATATGAATTTAATTGCCCCTTTGACGGCTGTGCACGTCAACATGACTCATATATCGGTATTACTACTACCCCACTGACTAGAAGGCTTACGATGCATAAACAGAGTAAATAGTGACAAAGAAAAATATGATGCTATCGATGAAGAAAAGAAGACCAAATTAGATGACCAGCCAATAAAGAAACCTGACACCTAATTTCCATTTAAGTTCATTTTGACATAGTCAATATTTCCCTATATAAACATCAATCGCACTGATGATGATTCATTCGGAATCGAAATATGGCCTTATTTGCAGCATGAATTCGAAAAATAAGTTTATTTTGAATTTTAATAAACTAAACGTTCACCAAAAAACTTTAGTGAGAAAAACCGAACTACAAACATGTTAACGCCAAACATTCGGTAGAATTTATAGAATATTGTAAAAAATATATATATATACATATACATATATATATTTATATATATATATATATATATATATATATATATATTTAATTGCCCCTTTGACGGCTGTGCACGTCAACATGACTCATATATCGGTATTACTACTACCCCACTGACTAGAAGGCTTACGATGCATAAACAGAGTAAATAGTGACAAATAGTATATATATATATATATTTATATATATATATATATATATATTTATATATACTGTGCCTTTACTCTACTTTGTTGATTCTGATTCCTTATTTGTTTAAAGTGAATAATTAGTGTTACAATTTTCAACATCGTAAAATATAAAACTTAAGTGTTTTCATTATCGATAAATATAACACTTTTACCAGTTTTCATTATCGATTTTATTCCTCTTTCTAAATTTATTTGTGGGAAGTATTCCAATTGCCCGTTGTTAAATATTTATTATCGGATACCTTTGTTTATGAGTATTGACTCGTCTAATCGTAAATTATAATGGCTTTTATTGTAATGTAAGAGTTTATCATTGTAGTCCATGATTTGTCTGGGAATTTTAGTTTTGTGTTTTTCTTACAGCTTATTTCTTATGGCTTTTAGCTCATCTTGTAAGAAATAGAAAAGCGTCAGAAATTTTAATTCCATTAAAGTTTGATGTATATCAATAAAATAACAAATTTTAGTAGAATTAAAATTTCTGGTGCTTCTCTATTTCTTACTAGATAAGCTTAAATTGCAAATTACTATTTTTTGTAATTTTTAAATGATTAAAAACCAAAGATCTATCCATATATATTCATATGATTAAACTCACTAAGATTGAAAAGAAACTTGGACTGAATATTTCCATGTCTCCCATTGAAAATTGCTTTTTGGATTACCAACATGATGGTTCAAGTGAAAAATGTTTAAAGAGCTGTACGTCCGAATTGTACATAGAACCTAATGTTGACCGGACCATAAACACTAATGAAACGTCATTTGTAGGAGTTGCACTACAATTTAAAAAAACTAATCTGGGTAGAGAGCAACATAAAAGTTTAAAAAGTTGTAAAAAGTTGTGTAAGAATGGAGGAAAGTGCGTCATCAAGGATTCATATTATAAGTTAGTTATTTTTAAATTTTATAGTTTTTAAACACTTGAATGCACAAAATATTAACCTAATTGTTTTACATATTTAAAAACTATATAAACCGTAAAAAAGTAAAATAACAAATTTTAGTGAAATTAAAATTTCTGATGCTTCTCTATTTCCTACTAGATAAGCTAAAATTACAAATTAAATTTTTTTTTAATTTTTAAATGATTAAAAACCAAAGATCTATAATATTTGCTTGCATCGAAATAACAACAAAACTCATCAGCATGTTTTATTGAATGTACTACCATTGAAAAAAATTCTGTATAATATAAGGATAAAAACGTTGAAAATTTAAACGATTTAAATTAATATAATTTTTATTTCATATTCATGGAAAGATAAACTAGTTTACACTTAAGTGAGGTCTTCCAATTGTTAAGCTTTAATATTTGGTTTTTTTTAGAAATTTCACTAGAATTTTAATGATTAACAAATAATGCTTAAGTAAATGTATTATAGCTAAAATTTATGCTGAGAAATTTATAAAAATGAAATATCCACGCTTAGTAATTTTGTAAAACGTTTGTTGTATTTAGCATGTTAATGCGTATTCTTTTCAGATTTTTATGATTGAACATGTGATTATTGAATACTGATTATTTATTGTTCGTTAATTCATCAAAATAGTAAAGAACTTAATGTAAGGATTTCTGTTCATTATCATGGCGGTCTGACGGAAATTGGAGTAGAAAATCAAATTGATATTCATCGCTAGAGATCGACTGGCAATGGGTTGATTATAATGGCTAAGAGTAAAATAGAATTTAAGAACAATTTAAGTATAAACGTTTTTAAAATTTGAAAGATCTTGATTAATTCATGACCGTTACTTATATGAAAAATGTTAAAAGACTAGGACGTTTGAAGAAAAACGTTATTTGCTAGACACGCTATTAAAAACATTTTCAAATGCGAAAAGCTTTTCAATTTTTATCTTTTCTAAGCAATCACTATATATATTTGGCAGAAACCATGCAGAATCTGTCTCTTAGAATTTTAAATATAAAACTGTCTCTATAACGAAAAAAAATTATATTTAAAAAAAAAAACCTGACCAGAATAAATGTACCTGGTAAAACATTTCAGTGCTTAAATAAATGAGAATTTTTTTTTGAAGAATTATCATTAAAGTTTAGTTCAAGGTGACATCAAAATTTTAAAATGATTGTTGAACGTAGTAAACTGTAAGTTACATATTACATTATTGATTAGCGCATTTTGCATTTTGTCCGTTTAGATAGATATAATGCAAGTACAATAAGTTATTTTTCATATTTTTTGCGATTATACCACGTACTATTACTTTTTGTTACAAAAATAAATGACTACAAGGTTTTTTTAATAAATATATAGCACATACAAAAATTTTAAGTAATGTAGAATTTTTTACAGAACAACTTCTATATAAAGATATTTAGATATTCTATATAGCAAATTTATTTCCTGGAACCATCAGTTCGTTGCATGAAGGTAACGCTGTATTTTTTTATTTTTTTTTAATTGTTTCACTATTCCAGATGTCATTGTCCGTCTAGTCATTATGGCCCTCAATGTCAACTAACCACCAAATCGTTTGCTGGAGATGGTTATATGTGGTTACAACCAATAAATGCATGCTCAGCTAAAAATCATTTTTCCATTGAATTCATGCCGAAAATTGGTGCAGAAGTAATCTTATATCAAGGTGAGCAGATTAGTGACGATGGCGAAAATCTATCAGGAAATTTTATAATGGTAAGGTTGATGAACAATCACGTTGTGACACAAGTGAAAAATGAAAAGATGGGTTTTCATGATATGATAACTGTGTCAGGTCTTTTGTATGATGGCAGTTGGCACAAACTGGACCTTTATTTCAATAACAAGGTGTTTTTAATTTACATCATTTGGTTACATTAGCTATTTTTTCATTTTTTTTATTAATCACTTCATTTTATCTTTAAAAAACAAACTATGAAAAGCAGAAAACAGCCCTACAAGCAAGGCATAAAAGCTAAAATAAACAAGAAACAAAATAAAATAAAACAATGGTTGCATTTATATATATATATATATATATATATATATGATTATATATATATATATATGATTATATATATATAAAGCTTACGATGCATAAACAGAGTGGTGCTATCAAATCTCATTTGAACTCAACCCACTCAATCACTATTAGCCGTGAAATCCTCGACAGCAACACAAAAGTAATATACCAGAACAGCAACTACACGCATCTTAAAATTGCAGAAGCAGTCCTAATTGACATCAATAAACCAAAAATAAATATACAACAAAAAATGGCATTCTCACTCCCAACCCGACGCTTAACTAACAATGAAAACAAAGAAGTAATAAAAACTAGCATTGTAAATAATGACAAAGAAGAATATGATGCTATCGATGAAGAAAAGGAGACCAAAGAACACGATCATGCTAGCGATGAAAAAAAGGAGACCAATAAAGAAACCTGACACCAAATTTCCATCAAAGTTCATTTTTACAACGTCAATTTTCATCTAAGTTCATTTTGACAACGTCAATATTTCCCTATATAAACAACAAGAAGCACTGATGATGATTTATTCGGAATCGAAATATGGCCTTATTTGCAGCATGAATTCTAAAAATAAGTTTATTTTGAATTTTAATGAACTAAACATCCACCAAAAAACTTTAGTGAGAAAAATCGAAAAAACGAACTACAAACATATTAACGCCAAAAATTCGGTAGAATTTATAGATTATTGTAAAAATTATGGTCTATTACCAACGATTATATATATATGTTATATTTATCGATAATGAAAACACTTAAAATGTTACATTCTACGATGTTGAAAGATTGTAAAACTAAATATTCACTTTGAACAAACAAGGAACCAATAAATAGGCTCAGTATAAAAATATTTGATCATCTGGGCACAACTACAACATATCAATCATATTGTTATAACCGTGCTACCGAATGCACTAGAACATTCTAGAATATGCTAGAATCGGACCATCTAGAAGAATCTAGAAACGACGCTTGCGAAGTATATAACCGCACGTCCCAAGAAGATTAGCGATTAGTGAAATTCGTGATTTTGTAAATTATATATATATGTTATATTTATCGATAATGAAAACACTTAAAATGTTACATTCTACGATGTTGAAAGATTGTAAAACTAAATATTCACTTTGAACAAACAAGGAACCAATAAATAGGCTCAGTATAAAAATATTTGATCATCTGGGGACAACTACAACATATCAATCATATTGTTATAACCGTGCTACCGAATGCACTAGAACATTCTAGAATATGCTAGAATCGGACCATCTAGAAGAATCTAGAAACGACGCTTGCGAAGTATATAACCGCACGTCCCAAGAAGATTAGCGATTAGTGAAATTCGTGATTTTGTAAATTCGTGACTCTGTGATTTTGTGATTGTGAATAGCGATTCGGTGAATTATTTAAAGCGATATTTGATTTGTTTTGTTGACGTTGTCATAACGACAGATTTTGAACAATTTAAAAGTTAATTGTTGTGTTAATTTGAATTTGCTAAAAATAAACGATTAGTTGATTTCTTCTGTAAAAAAAGTTTAATAACTAATAACTGTTTGGAGTATTTTATTCAATCGAAGATTCGAACCCGTCGCATCGTAAATCGGTTACGACAGCGAGTATTATAACATTGGTGTCAGAAGTGGGATCTTCGACCAGCGAAAAAGAACACGATGTCAAAACTGTGTGGTTTGAACGTAGTTCAGCTACGAGAAGAACTACAGAAACGAAGCCTTGTCACAAGTGGCAACAAAGAAGTACCAGTAGCACGTCTGAGAGAAGCTATCATTGACGAAGGTAAGAACACAGACGAATTCAAGTTTGATGGTGCTGACGAAGACAATAAAATTTACAATCGCTAAAATGATGGAACTTCTGCTTAGTATGTCAACTGAAATGAAACAGATCAAAGAACAGTCCGAACGACAGTCCGAACGACAGACAGAAGAGTTAAAACAACAGATCAAGGAACAGTCCGAACGACAGACAGAGGAGTTAAAACAGATCAAGGACCAGCTAAAACACGTAAAATTGGAAGTGGCAGAACAGATTGAAGATTAGTCAACAAGAATAGAAATGATCGAGCAGAAACTTGATCGTCAGACCTTTGAGATAGATCACAAGATAGACAAATTGAAGCGAGAATTGGAGCAATCCAAAAAAATGGCTATGCCGTTAGATCACGCATCCGGAAGAACTTTGAAGGTACCAGCATTTGACGGAGAGATGTCCTGGAACGTTTATAAAATCCAGTTCGAAGTAGCGGCAACTAGTAACTGTTGGAACGGAAAAGAACGAGCAACAGCACTGATACTGGCCCTGCGAGGTTCAGCAGCAGAGGTTCTTCAGACGATTCCGGCGGAGAACCACTTCAACTATGAATTTCTGGTTAGCGCGTTGGATTTACGTTATGGTGAAGAACACATGAGACAGATTTATCGGTCTCAGCTTAGAAACAGAACGCAACGATCTGGTGAATCCATTCAGCAGCTGGCACAAGATATCGAACGGTTGACATTGCTGTCGTATCCGACATCAGACCCCGAGCATAGAGACGAAACTGCCCTGGATACGTTTATCAAAGCCTTTCGTGATTCAGAACTCAAGCAATCCCTTCTCTTGTCAGATAAACGAAAACTCAAGGATGCCGTTGCGCACAGTCTCACTTTTGAATCGGCAAAGCAAGCATCAAAAAGTAACGTACGTCTACGCCAAGTACATGAAGAATGCTCTTGCCAGAAGGTGGTTGTGAAACGCGAACCCCAACAGCATGGTGTACCCCAATGTTGGATTTGTGGTGAAAAAGGCCATCTACGTCGTGATTGTAAACACCGCCTAAAAGATAACTACTGCCGAAATTGCGCGACAAGATGGCGCAAAAGAAGAGAAGATGATCCTGTATCACAATCGGCCCCTTCTAACGAAGGGGCGGAAAAACTAATAAGAGCCAACTTTGTGGGGCAGAGGTTATCTAGTAGAATTGACGCCCCCAGTACCGTAATTAACATTTCCAGGCTATATCGAAATCGAAACGACCGATGGCTGAACGGAAAAGTTGATCAACGAGAATGTGTAATTACAGTCGACACCGGAGCAACAAAATCGATTTTAAGATCTGATTTGGTACCCAATCTGAAGAAAGAGACTTCTAACAAATACATCCTTCGAACAGCTACCGGAGGAACAGCACCAGTCTATGGAAAGATTCTCCGTACTGTTCAGCTAGGCGACTTGTTATTCGAAGGTTCATTTTTAGTTGCGGATATCATCGACGAATGCATAATAGGTGTCGACTTTCTGACAAAATATGGGTTCAAAATTGACTTAGAAAAACGCATTTTTAGATGGAGAAATACAGAAGTGATAATGGGGGATAGCGACGAAAAATGCATTCGAGTGACAGTCGATTGTGACATAAAACTACCTCAATCATCTGAAAACATCGTATGAGGCAAGTTGAATTGCGATCCTGGGGGCCACCAGTTCTATTTGATGGAGCCAACCTCAACGACAAATGTACAGAACGCGATCATTGGAAAATGCCTGGTAGAAGCGAACAAAAATGGTCTTATTCCTGTCAGAATAATGAATACCGCTAAACACACTATTAAAATTAAAGAAGGCGAGGAAATAGGTAATTGCCAATCAGTAAATTTGGTGAAATCATTAGATATGGAGCAACAGGAAAAGGTTCTACCAACTGACAAAGGTAAACTCAAAGAACTTACCAAAAATCTACTGGATGAACTTAATTTGTATCAAGAAGACCGTCTAATAGCCGCCTCGTTGATTACTGATTTCGCAGACGTGTTTTCAACCGGTGACAATGACCGCCAGAAGGTTCATTCTTAGTCGCGGATATCATCGACGAATGCATAATAGGTGTCGACTTTCTGACAAAATATGAGTTCAAAATTGACTTAGAAAAACGCATTCTTAGATGGAGAAATACAGAAGTGATAATGGGGGATAGCGACGAAAAATGCATTCGAGTGACAGTCGATTGTGACATAGAACTACCTCAATCATCTGAAAACATCGTATGGGGCAAGTTGAATTGCTATCCTGGGGGCCACCAGTTCTATTTGATGGAGCCAACCTCAACGACAAATGTACAGAACGCGGTCATTGGAAAATGGCGAACAAAAATGGTCTTATTCCTGTCAGAATAATGAATACCGCTAAACACACTATTAAAATGAAAGAAGGCGAGGAAATAGGTAATTGCCAATCAATAAATTTGGTGAAATCATTAGATATGGAGCAACAGGAAAATGTTCTACCAACTGACAAAGGTAGACTCAAAGAACTTACCAAAAATCTACTGGATGAACTCAATTTGTATCAAGAAGACCGTCTAAAAGCCGAGGCGTTGATTGCTGATTTTGCAGACGTGTTTTCAACCGGTGACAATGACCAAGGTAAAACAGCTATGGTAACCCACCGAATTGATACTCAGGATTCGAAACCGATCCGACAAGTACCACGACGTCTTCCTTTAGCAAAACAAACAGAAGTAAACGAAATGATAACGACAATGCAGAATCAAGGCGCTATCGAACCGTCATCAAGTCCCTGGATTTTGCCAGTTGTTTTGGTAAAGAAGAAAGGACGTTCTCCAAAGCTCCAGCGAGGGTGGGAAGGCCCTTATCAAGTCATCACCCGCTTGAATGACGTCTTCTACCGTATTCAGGAATGTCGGAAGCCGAGAGCAAGAATGAAGATCGTTCATTTGGATAGACTGGCTTCGTACCATGAGGACACCGGAACGAAAACTAAGAAGGGGGTAATGTTATAACCGTGCTACCGAACGCACTATAACATTCTAGAATATGCTAGAATCGGACCATCTAGAAGAATCTAGAAACGACGCTTGCGAAGTATATAAGCGCACGTCCCAAGAAGATTAGCGATTAGTGAAATTCGTGATTTTGTAAATTCGTGACTCTGTGATTTTGTGAATAGCGATTCGGTGAATTATTTAAAGCGATATTTGATTTGTTTTGTTGACGTTGTCATAACGATAGATTTTGAACAATTTAAAAGTTAATTGTTGTGTTAATTTGAATTTGCTAGAAATAAACGATTAGTTGATTTCTTCTGTAAATAAAGTTTAATAACTAATAACTGTTTGGAGTATTTTATTCAATCGAAGATTCGAACCCGTCGCATCGTAAATCGGTTACGACAGCGAGTATTATAACTATCAACACCGAAGTTGGTAATGGTATATGAATACCGAAAAAAGCTTTTCTGTTCTATCGCGCATAAGATGAACGAAAATTTTGGTTTTGAACTAAAGAAACTTGAAAATGATTTACGGTCAACCGTTAGACAAATCGAAAAGTCAAATTGGAAGTTAACTAACGCCGAACATGCTCTGATTTTCATCAATAATTGCATTTCTGACAGTCACACAAACACACAAACACACACACACACACACATATATATATATATAACACCTTTCTATACACACCTGCCTATTGGTTTTAAAATTTTACAAAATTGTTGATATTTAAAATTTAACTATAAATATGTTTATTTAATTTTATGTTCAATTTTATTTTTAACCATATTTTAAAGGTACGTTACATTATTACACTATTATTATCAACATTCAATATATAATTTAATTTCATCTTAATATTATTTTATATCTTCCTAATTTATCTCATTTCAATGATTTTAATATTATAATATTATTCACAATGATATTAAGCTCCGATGATGGCTAAATAGCCGAAACAGCGCTGCCAGCTGACAAATTTCATGGATGTTTTGAATAAATACGAATTCAAAAAACTACGGGGTGTTAAATTTATTCCTTTTAAATCTTTTACTTATAGGCTCTATTCTCGTAAGGCTCCTTGGTTTGATTATGCTTGTGTAGTAGCCAAGAAAAGTGTTAGAAGACTGGAGAAAGCCTATAGGTTAAATCCATCTAACTCTCTTTATTCTATTTATGAATCTGAATTAATTATAAATATCTACTATTCTCTAAACACTCTACTTTTCTTAAAAATTCTATAACATCTGCTTCAACATCTAAAAATAGGTGGTCTGTTCTATCTAAACTTCTACATAAAAATCCTCTCTCATCTTTTTCTGCCCAACAGTTTCATGACATTTTTGACATAAAATTACTTCTTTAAGAACATCTAATTCTAATTTTTCTTCTCATAACTTTACTAAACTTACTACTGAATCTTTTTCTGTATTTACTCCAATAAATCTTTTAGAACTAACTAAAATTATTAATTCTATGTCGTCTACAACCTGTTCTCTAGATCTACTTCCTTCTAATTTACTTAAAAAATTTTCTTCAATATTTTATTCACTCATTCTCAAATTAGTTAATTTATCTCTTTCCACCTCTAAATTTCCTACTTCTTATAAGAATTCTATTGTTATTCCTATTCTTAAAAACTCATCCTTAGATTCTACCTCTTTATCTGATTATAGACCTGTAACTAATACTACTTTCATCTCTAAAATAATAGAAAAAGTAGTTTCTAATCAACTGTCATCCTATTTAAACTTTAAATCCTTTTGCTACCTGTATCTCAATCTGGTTTCAGACCTGCTCACAGTACTGAATTTTCTTTACTCAAAATACACAATGATATCCTTCTCTCTAGTTTTAATAGTAATCTTACCTTCTTCTTGCTCTTGACTTTTCCTCGGCTTTTGATACTGTTGACCATACTATTCTCTTGAGACTGCTGCATCTTTCTTTTAATATTACTGATTCTTGTCTATCTTGGTTTTCTTCTTATCTCTGTAATCGTTTTTCTTCTGTTGTTCTCAATAATTCTACTTTTAACTCCTCTACTCTTACTTTCAGGGTACCTCAGGGTTCTATCCTTGGCCCTCTTCTATTTATACTCTATACTTCTGAACTACCTCGTATTATTAATAACTTTTCTTTCTCTAGTCAACTATATGCTGATGATTCTTACATTTATACTTTTTTTCCTCCATCTAATCTCAATAGTGTTCTTCATAATTTATCTCTATGTCTTTCTTCAATTATCGCTTGGTCTGACTCTATGTGTCTTAAACTTAATCCTTCTAAGTTTGAATTAATTTGTTTTAATAAATCTAAACACTCTATTACTATTCCTCTTATTATCTTACCTGATTCTAAAACTCTTGATGTCTCTCATAAGTTTCGTAGTCTAGGTTTTATCTTTGATTCTACTATGTCTCTCTCTTCTCAGATTAATACTCCTCTCCTTCTTGTTACTTCGTTAGTCTTATCTAGGATTAATTATTGTAACTCGCTCTACTATGGTCTTCCTGACTCTATACTCTATCCTTTAAGTAAAGCTTTTAACTCTGCTGCTCGTCTAGTTGCTCGTGCCCCTTTCTTTTCTCATATATCTCCATATCTTGTTCTTTTGCACTGGCTACCTATAAAATATAGAATAATTTTTAAAATTTGCACGCTCATGTATAAGTCTCAATTTAAATTATTTCCCAAGTATTTATTAGATATATTAATTGAATCTAAACGCCCCCGGTTTACGATCGTCTTCTTCTTCTCGGTTTTTCTTAACTCGTGTTAAACACTCTTTTGCCAAATCTGCTTTTGCTTTTTCTGGTCCTTTTCTCAGGAACTCTCTACCTACTTCTCTGACTACTTCTCCATCACTTGCAAAGTTCAGAGCGGATCTCAAAACCCATGTTTCCAAAATTCATTGAGCGCTGTTGAACATCGCGGAAATAAGGCTTTATAAGCTAATTGATTGATTGTTGAAGTTCTTATCAAAAAACTTTTGAACGCAGAGTGGGCATACAAATTTCATGAAATATGCATATATATATATATATATATATATATATATATATATATATATATATATATATATATATATATATATATGTTATGGACTCAACACAGCGTAGTTTTTGACATTTATATTTAATTATTTATTGTGAAATTGTGACATATTAGAAGCTGACAACGTTGTTTCGGCTAAGTAGCCACCATCAGAGCCTTGCGAAGGATGTAACCTAAAAGATAAATTTAATACTAAAACATGAAATTAAATAAAAGTTACTAATTAATAAAAGGTAAAATAAATGAAAATAAAACTGGAAAGTTGGAAGAATAGGAAATAAACAATACGTGTGTGATGAATGTGGCGTAATCACTAGTATAAAATATTATGGAACGCTATTATGGAATTCTATATTCTACACAAATTAAATGCATAACTAAGATTATGTGGTTATAAAATGTATGTAGGAATAAAATAAACTAAAATAAATAAGTTAGTAAATAAAATGAAATACGATAAATGTACTATGAATTATGTAATGGGAATTGAATTTAATTAAGACTGTAATAGAGTAGTTAAAGATGTAAGTGTAGTACATTTCCGACGTACACTCATAAATTGTGTATTGACCGGTAGAAAGCTGTCTGCCTGCGAATGATATTCATATCGTGGTGATACAGGCAAGTACGGTTGCTCACGTACAACGTTACACAGTAGAGCCTGATCCCGGTATTGAGAAATAGTTGTAGGATGTGGTCGAAACTGCTTGATTGCTTGTTTAAAGTGGGTTTATGTTTGTTGATATACAGGGCCTCACGGATTTTAAGTCGACCAGGATGCATTTCAGTGTCAAGTATCGTAGTATTCGAATCCAAAATGGTCCTGGTGAGAGGCATATGGTGTTCACTAACAATATGGTTCTTTACGCTGTGTTGAGTCCATAATAAAAAAGTTGATAAATGCAAAATGGGCAAATAAATTTAACAAAATATGTATTAATGAAAACCTCGTTCCTAAATATATGTATATTTATATATATATATTTATATTTATATATATATATATATATATATTGATGAAAATTACAGTATGTTCGGCGTTAGTTAACTTCCAATTTAACTTTTCGATTTGTCTAACGGTTAGTCGTAAATCAATTTCAAGTTTTTTGAGTTCAGATATATATATATATATATATATATATATATATATATATATATATATATATATAGGCCCGGAACTAGGGGGGGCAAAGGGGGCAAGCGCTCCGGGCGGCAAATTTTAGGGGCGGCAAATTTTAGACATTTTTTAAAAATTTGAAAAATTTATTCGCATTTGTTATAATATGGTGATGGATCAAAGTAAATTTGATTTTTTTATATTACTCATTTTTTATTTTTTTTAAATTTTTTTTTCGTTTGTTTTTTTTCTATGTAAAGATCAAAATATAAACACAAATATTATGAGCAGAATCTTTATCTTATTTCTTATTTGTAATCTTTCCCTTATTTGATTTAAAATCACGCCGCGAAAAATATCGTATAGTATAGTAGGTTAGTTTAGTCGTTTTCATGTTAGAAAATAAAAATGGATGGCAGAAAAAAACTTAGTGGAGCTGAATACAGAAGAATTGCTAAAGAAAAACGAAAAAAAGAAAGCGATGTGCTGTCACTAACGCCAAAATTAGAAACGTTATTCAACAAATCTAATGTTAATGTTAGTATTATAGTGAATAGTGATAAAGAGGGCTCAAAAGAAAAATCAGTTAAATATTTTTATTATTTCAAATTTTATTAATTGAATAATGGAACATTATGCACAATGTGTATTAATTATGCATCCTTTTGAATAAAATAATTTTTTTAAATATTTCGTATCTAGATGACATGGAAGCTAAAAAAGAGATCAAGGAGAAAGTATTTTGGTTCAACTTCAATCCAACATATGAAACTGTAGAAGAATTATTTCCTCAACAAGACCCCACAACTAGTCTTCAAAAGACATCTAAGTTCCCTTTTGATTTCAGTGATCCTGGTTCATGGCCACAAAGTTTTTCTGATTCAGAAAGATGTTTTATAACAAAAATGAGATTTGAAAATTTAACTGAACCAAATTTGAGTAACAGTAGCCGAGAAGGACGCAATTTAACCAAAGACTGGTTTTATAAAGTTCTCAAAAATGGAGAAAAAATGAAAAGATCATGGTTAGCCTATAGTGAAAGTAATAAAGCTCTCTATTGTATTCCCTGCAGACTGTTTCCACACTTAGCTTCAAATCAAATGTCTTCTTTAGCTAAAGAAAAAGGACTTACCAATTGGAAAAAACTTAATGAAAAGTTGCCTGAACATGAAAATTCATCTAACCACAAACTTTGCTTTTGCTCTTGGAAAACATTAGAATCTTGTTTAGTAAATGGAAGTATTGATGCAGAACTCCAAGATCAGATCCAACAAGAAGAGTTGCATTAGAAAGCGGTATTGCGCTGTATTGTAGATGCTATTCTATTCTTGGCAAAACAAGGAAGTCCATTTCGAGGAAATAAAGAAAATTGTGATTTCAGCAACCCATCTAATGGAAAGTTCTTGAATACAGTTGAACTTATTTCGCATTATAATGTTCCTCTTCAACAACACATTGAGCGGCATAAGAAAGGACAAATATCCTATTTTTCACATAAAATACAAGATGAGTTTTTAGAAATTATTGCTAATAACATAAAGCAAGGAATAATACAAGACATTTTGGATGCAAAATATTTTTCCTTAATATTTGACTGCACTCCGGATATCAGTCACAGCGAACAAATGACACAAGTAGTTCGTTACGTCAAAAAAGATACAACTGAAATAGAAGAAAGTTTTATTGATTTTTTTAAAGTTAGTGTCAAAACAGGTGAAGGTCTCAGTCAAGAAATTTTAAAAAAATTAGATGCAGATGGACTAGACTTGGAGAATTGTAGGGGGCAATCCTATGTCAATGGAGCAAATATGGCTGGAAAATATAAAGGAGTCCAGTTCAGATTATTGCAGAAAAACCATCTGGCATATTTTGTTCCATGTGCTGCACACTCTCTCAATTTGGTTGGTGCTAATGCAGCTAGTGCTACTGTCCAGGCTCAGAATTTTTTTGGAACTTTGAACAGCTTGTATTCTTTTTTTGCACTTTCAACTTCACGTTGGGAAGTTCTCAAAAAAAATGTGCCGATAACATTAAAACCTGAAAGCAAAACAAGATGGTCTGCAAGATTAGATGCAGTCGAAGCTGTATATAAACATTATAGTAAAGTTCTGCAGACTCTAGAAGATCTTAAAAACTATGATTTCTCAACTCCTCAAACTGTGAATGAGGCCAGCTCTCTTTTGAAAAATATTCAAAAACTGAGGGTAAATTGTTAGCAAAAACGAATAATCTAAAATCTGCATTTTCAGAAAAGAGACCAAGAATGAAAAGAAAAATGGCTGATGAATTGTGCAATGATGAAGCTCTGACAAATGTTGAAAATATGTACCAAGTGACTATGTTAGAAATCATTGACAGAGTGATTACAGAACTTAGTGACAGATTTGAATCTTTGAATAATGTAAACAGTATGTTTGGGTTTTTGAGTGGTGTTAAAATTAAAGAAATGCAGACAGCAGATCTAAAAATTAAAGCCGAAAATTTGGCAAATATATACTCAGCTGATCTCAACATTGATGAATTCATGTTTGAAATAGAAAGTTTTAAGCATCACGCTTTGACAGTTGACAAAAGTTTAAAAAAAGCCACATCAAAAGAAATGCTAAGTCTCATTTATAAAAATAAATTAGAAAAAGGCTACCCTAACATCACTATTGCATTGAAAATCTTTCTCACGTTGCCTGTCACAGTGTCATCTGGAGAACGAAGTTTCAGTAAACTCAAAATCATCAAAAACTACATGAGAAGTACAATGGGACAGGGGAGACTGTCCAATTTAAGCATAATTTCAATTGAACACAAACGAGCATCTCTTATCAATTTTGATGATATAATCAATACATTTGCAGCTAAAAAAGCTAGAAAGATTTGTTTCTAATATAATATAATATACGAAACAATTACTTGATAAGTTGACAAATGACATTGTTTATAATACAAAGTTTTTCAATTTTTCACGTTTTATAACTATAATATAGTTGTTTTTTTCTATGTCAAGTATCTGTGTTAACATGTATATTGATACGTCCATAAATAAAACATTTTATTAAGAAACATGTAATATGTAATTTAAAAAAATGCATTTATACACCTTACGGTAGTAGCATAATAACGTCGTGGGGGGGAGGGGGTCGGCACACTGATTTTTGCCCCCCCCTGGAAAATACCCTAGTTTTGGCCCTGTATATATATATATATATATATATATACGCTAGAAATTCTGTAGCTTTCATAAATTACTGCATATATATATTACTGAAAAGCAATATTCATCGAGAAAAATTTCAACAGATTGTCGCCACACAGTTAGACCACCAATCGCAAGCCAGAACAGATTGGAGTATATACAAAACAGTTTTGATAAACGCTGCAACTAAAGTTTGTAGGAAAACTGGTACAAAACGTCAGCATGAACGTGACACTTGGTGGTGGAATGACAGTGTACAAAATGCAATAGCTGAAAAGAAAGCTGCATACAAGCAATGGCAAAAATCAAAGTCTGTTGATGACCATAAAATTTTCCGTGAGAAGAACAACTATGCAAGACGTCAAGTTGCACTGGCTCGGACAGATCAGTGCAACGAGTGGCTCACTAAAAGCAAAGGTGAACAAATGAATTCTCTACATCGTATAGCAAAACAAGCAAAGCGTACGAAAAAAGACATAGTTGGTGTCTCATGTATCTAAAATGACAAAAATGAGGTGGTTCTTGAACAAGATGGGAACAAGCTACAGTGGAGAGAATATTTCAACCGTCTGTTAAACGAAACAAATCCCATCAATATTAACTTTGATGCTCCACCCATCGAAGGTTCGATTCCAGACATCACTATAGAGGAGCTTACAGAAGCTCTGAAAGCTATCAAGGATGGAAAGGCAGCAGGGCTCTCTGGACTCACAAATGACATTATCAAAGCATCTGGTACTGCAGGTATCCAAACGTTACTACAACTTTGCCGTGAAATCTGGAGAAATTGCTCAATGCCGACTGAATGGAACTATAGCATGACAGTCCCGCCATATAAAGGCAAAGGTGATCCATTGAACTGTTCATCATATCGGGGTATACGTCTGTTAGAACACTCTCTGAAAATTGTCGAGAAAATCATTGAGTGAAGATTAACGTCGTGCATCACAATCGAAAATTATCAATTTGGTTTTATAGCGGGGAAATCAACAATTGATGCAATTCACATCCTTCGGCAACTGCAAGAGAAATACCTCGCAAAGCATCAACAACTATCACACATTTTTGTAGACCTTGAAAAAGCATTTGATCGAGTTCCCGTGAAGCAATCAGGTGGAGTCTACGTCGACAACTCATTCCAGAATATCTTGTTCGACTTGTGATGGAAATGTATACGAATACTAAGACTCTTGTCAGCACAACGGTTGGAAACACAGATGCATTTGACATCGGCGTTGGAGTTCACCAAGGCTCGATTCTCAGTCCACTGTTATTTATAACTGTGATGGAAGAAATCACAAAACCGATACGCACTGGTGACATTTGGAATCTAATATATGCTGATGATATCGTTTTAACAGCCACGTCTGAGCAGGTTGCAGCACAGATGTTTTAAGATTGGAACACCAGACTCGCCGATCAAGGATTCAAAGTCAACATCAGCAAAACCAAAGCAATGAACACTGGTGAACCCATCCAATCCACAGCTACTGGACGATGGCCCTGTTCAGTTTGTAAAGCTAGTGTTGGTAACAATTCAATCAAGTGTCAGCAGTGTAACCAGTGGTGTCACAAACGTTGTTCAAAAATAATTGGTACTTTATCTAACGTGTCCAATTTTGTTTGTCCTGCTTGCATCAATCCTCAACAACAAATTCGAAATAGCGCTGTTTTTGAAGCCATTAAGGTAGAGGAAGTCACATCGTTTCAATATCTCGGGGATGTTCTGGATTGTACTGGAACAGCTGAAGCTGCCGTTCGAGCACGCATACGTGCAGCCTGGAATAAATGGCATCTTCTTGCCTCTATATTGATGCGGCGTGACATCCCACTACCATTACGATCAAGACTTTATAAATCTGTGATACGTCCGGTGTTGTTATATGGTGCAGAAACATGGCCAATGACAACCAAACTGGAACAACAACTTCAACGAACCGACATGAAAGTGCTCCGATGGATGCAACGAATTAGTCTGAAGGATCACATCAAATCTACCGAAATCTTGCGTCGTGCTGGTTTAGATGACATAAAGGACGAATGCCGGCAACACCGTCTGCAGTGGTTTGGTCATGTCAAACGAAGTGGAAACAGTGCCATAACTTCTCTTGCAGATGTTGAAGTATCTGGCACACGTCCCAAAGGCCGTCCATGAAGTCCTGGTCGCAAACAATCGAGCAAGACATGAAAGCTCTAAATTTAAATGAAATGGATACAACTGATCGTCTAATTTGGCGCAAAAAGTTGATGGCAAAGAGAACAACATCCTACCTCGGGAAACCGGGTCTCTGGACGCAAAACGAAGATTGATTGATTGATTGATATATATATATATATATATATATATATATATATCCTATATATATATATTTTATATATATATATATATGCAGTAATTTATGAAAGCAACAGAATGTTTAGCGTTGGATAGTTTTTTATTACATTTCTCAATATTTCGAAACATATTATTTTATTTACGATAGAAGAATATAGTTTTCCAATTCATTCTCGAAGGTATAGAACCTATTTCGATTTTTCAATCATCTTGAGTGGGACATGAATGTGTTTTGGCACTAACAGTCTTTGGTATCTTTTTTTTGTTGTCCTTTCCACTGCTTTTGATGCTATGGAAGATGGAGTATAAAACTGTAAGAGAATAATAAATCAGAAATAAAAAATAAGTTAAAAAATTAATTAATTAAAAAAACATAAGAAAAAGATAAAAAATGGAGAAAAAAAATATATTAAAAATAAATAAAAAAAACAATAATGATAGTTTGTGTTTAAAATATAATAATTGACTGATTGGTGATTGATTTAAGTAGGTATCTAAGAATGAATGGTTTGACATGGTATGAAGATATGGTTTTTGTAGAGTTGTGTTTGCTTAGACGTAGACTATTATATTTCAGACAATCCAAGTAATCCTGGACCAGTGCAGATTTTTGTATAAATCATCAATTCTATCTCATCATGTTTCTCACAATACAAACTTAAATGCAACACATGAATGTGAATCTACAAAAGAGATTATCACCCGCCCAAAACCAAATCAGTTGAAGCAAACATTTTTCCACTGGCCACAACAACCTTTACAACTTGGTGGAATATATAATATGAACATGAAACCAACGTTCAAAGGATTTAAGGGCTGCTTAAGAAATGTGATGTTCAATGAAATTGTTAGTGAAAATTCGTTAAAATATTTATACTAATAAGATAAATAATGTGATATAATATATTGATTGAAAACTTGGTTTTATTTAACTTTCTCTTTCAAGAACGCTTGGGTGCACATTAATAAAGTTATGTTATTGGTATTTGTATTTGTTATCTGGCTGGCTGACTTGGTGGCTGGCTTGCTGGCCGGTTCGTTGAGATACTGACTGGATGGCTGACTGACTGACTGGATATCTGGCGGGTCGGCTCGGTGACTGACTGACTGACTGAATGAATGAATGAGCGATCGATCGATTGATTGATTTTTTCGAACAATGAATCAATTAAGTTTAAACCAAACTATATTATATTTGACTAATTTTATATTATAAATGGAATGGCTTACCATATGTTGGTGATGCATTTGTATGGTTAATTTGCTAAATTGTGAATATGTTTAAATTTAAATTTTAAAGTTATACGATCTCCATACTGAGCCGACATTGCGATTGTTTAGCAATGTTGTTGATGGGTGCCCTCAAGACCATAGACAGTGCAAACAAATATTCATGGATAATGAAAACATAAAAAAGGAAAAAAATAATATCTGCGGTCCAAACTCTTTTTGTGATAGAAGTCAAGACGAATATGCATGCGTGTGTGAGCCTGGTTGGAGTGGGGGTAGTTGTTCCGAAGGTTTAATTTATTTCTTTCAATATACTAAAACAATAAACAAAACAATAATGAAATGTAGAATGCCGTTTTTTAACAATGTAATCCAGTTTTATTTCAATAAATACGCTTAGGAGTTAACTAGAGTAATAAATAAGTCATAAAATATTTTCGTACATTTTCTCCATTTTATTGAAAATATTTTCAAAATTTACATATAAATTGTAATTCAAATGTTTTTCTAGTGCAGTTAAGTTAAAGCCGAACCAATAAAGGCTTGGAGTTATGACCCGATTCGGTTTTTGGCTCGGCTTGGATATTTTCAAGTTGCATCTTTATCGGCTCAAGATGTGGCTAGTCGATAGAGCCAACATCGATGGCCAAAAAATTTATTATGAAAACCTGAAAAAATTTCCATTTTTTACGTTTCATTGCATACTTTCTTTAGTAACGCTAATATTATTATACTTATATAAATGATTTAGCAAACAAATTAATATTTATTTTGTAACTTTAACTACTGTATAACATTAGCTACACCGGCGGTTGATTATTTGGACGACAGTTACATTGAATGGATTGTCTTAGACCACGTACACGAATTGTTTGCAAGCACGCAATACAGATACGAAACGCGTATTCAACTGATGTTCAAAACAAGACACGACAGAGGGCTCTTGTTGAAAGTTCAAAACAAAAATAAAAGCAAATATTTGAGCATCGAGGTATTTTATATTAAAGCTCATTTTGATTAACATCTTAACGTGCAGCTGTGTTTTACAATTTTTTATTCCCAATGATTTTTTTGTTTATCTATTTGTTAATTTTATATTTGTTGAATTGTTTTGCATTACAAGTTTTTTGTGGTATTATATAATTAGAGGTTATAGAACAAAAAACTCTAGACAAAAAACTCCGGACAAATAATTTTCAGAGTAAAAACTTACATGAATATACTAGAGACAAAACTTCAGAGAAAAAAAACCTTGAATGAATCCACTCAGTTCAGAAAACAAAGTCTCCTGTGAAAGATTTTTCAAGCATAACCCTTCATATATATCAGCGGAAAAAAAATTACTAAATATTTGTCAATAACATTTTCATACCAAAATTCAAATGTTGTTATCAACATTGAAACAATCATTTGGTTCAACTTTTATTTTTTATTGATATTATATTGCAACTACAAAAAAATTTGTATAAATAAAATATTTGCTAACAAAATATTATGCAGTAATAAAATATATGTAAATTTCTTGGCTAAATAGAGCAGCGAATTGCTCTGCAAGTATTTAAATAAAAAGATGATTAAAACTGTCAATCGTTATGCTAAAATCAAGTGATAAAAACACTATTTCTTCTTGATTTGTCCGTATCTTATATATTGTTTGGCTAATTGAGATGGAAGTCTTATTTCACATTTAGTAGAAAAATATAAGCGTATTATTCCGTAACTTGTTGATTTTGGGAAAATGTCAATTAATAATTTATTTAGAATTTGTTTCGAATTTATTTACTTTCATACAAACTTGTTATCAAAAATGTGTTTGAAAATTTTTCAAATATTAAATCGTTTTTAAATTGTCAAACAATGAAATGTTAACTTATTACCATTACGTAAAACTGTAAGACTGAATTATTTATAAATAGTCCGTCCGGTTATATCGGTTTTATGGATAGATTTTCTACAGCATTTAAACTTTTTAGATATTTGTTCCATAAATATATAATAACTAGAATTATATAATTTGATTATTGTTTGACTTTTGCTAGATTTTATTTTGCAGTTATGTTCTATTTATTTATGTCATACAACAAGCTGAGACAAAAGCTTGAATAACATATACAAATTGTTTAGTGAATGATAAAATTAACATTTTATAATTTAATTTGGTAAATAAACAAATAAATTATTACCACTGAATTTTATTTTTCTTACGCAGATTTTAAGCAAAAAAATTATCTTAAAGTACAATTTCGGTGGAACAAAACGAAAAATTCTTTCCTTACCTTACATAGACGTTGATGATGGTAGGTGGCATAACGTCAATGTCATCCGAGCAGGTGGCTGGGTGCGACTTGCTTTCGATTCATTTACTGGTTTTTATAACAATGAAAGTTATACAAGTGATGAAGCGATGTCACCATTTTTTATCGTCAGCGTTATCAGTGGTGGAGTTCCAAAGATCATATATTCCAGGAATAAAAGCTTTGTTGACGATCCTGGAAACATTATTGTCGATTCTGATTTCAAAAATGGCAAGAATCATTTTACATATTATAATTTTTCATGTTTCATATAATCTGTTTATTTTCAAGATAAAAATTGAAAGAAAAAATAGAGGATTTTTTGGTTGTTTATTTGTTTTTTCAACCTAAATCTTCAGCTGGAGATTTCTTATTATATTCATAAATTTTTACTTTTTTCAATACTTCACAATTATTTATTACTAGCTGACCCGGCGTATTTTGTAATGCCTTAAAAATAATAGCTGTTTAGGCGCATTATGTTAAATAAAAACAAGTGTTATTTACATTAATTTATTTTAACATGAAAATATGAATATATTTTAAAATATAAACAATTACTTTCATAAATATCAAAATTTTTAGGTGTGCCAACACGTGAGCGTACAACATCCGTGAGAAAAGCACATGTTTTTTAAATTTAAACCGATAACATTTTAATATTATCCTTGGACCTTGTTTATGGTAATTGCATGCATAAGCAAGACGTGCGGGAAATTGTAGTCGTTTGAAGCTGAAATCACCGTTATTTGTAAAAGTAAAACATTTCTCCTTCAATCTACCACTCATGATTACTACCTCGATCAAATTTTGTTAATTTTTTATTGTTAGTTTAGTTCCATTGTACAGCTTTGGTGCATTTAAATTTTGTAAGAGTATTATTGGTCATCCTACTTTTAATGTCAATAAGTGTGATGGCATCCTGGAAGCTCCGTTGAATTTAAAAATTCTACTGGATAATTTACTGCTTATCTCTCATTATTAACAATAGAACATTAATTAGCGATGTGTCCTGTACATAACAGCACCACAGACAGGCAAATCAGAAAAGATGAAAAATGACTTCTGGGCTGCGTTCTTTGACACCATCTTAACAATACCAAAATCTGGAACAATCCTGATTGGATGCGATCTCAATGGCCACGTTGGAGAGAAAACAGATGGCTTTGACAACGTACATGGCGGTTTTGGCTATGGAGAACGAAATGAAGATGGCAACCGCATCCTTGAGTTTGCTGAAAGTCACAGGTTTTTTTACTGAACACATATTTTAGAAAGAGGTTGGAACATCTCATAACATACAAAAGTGGACTATCAGCCACGCAAATTGATTTCTTCGCTGTTAAGAAACAACACCGAAGGCTATTCAAAAACGTCAAAGTTATACCTGGCGAATCATGTGTCACCCAACATAGACTACTTGTGACAGACCTGTTTGTAGAACTGTCACAACATAAGTCTAAACAAATGCTTCGGAGAATCAAAACGTGGAAGCTGAAAAGCAATATTCATCGAGAAAAATTTCAACAGATTGTCGCCACACAGTTAGACCACCAATCGCAAGCCAGTACAGGTTGGAGTACATACAAAACCGTTTTGATAAACGCTGCAACTACGGTTTGTGAGAAAACTGGTACAAAACGTCAGCACGAACGGGACACTTGGTGGTGGAATGAACGTGTACAAAATGCAATGGCTGAAAAGAAAGCTGCATACAAGCAATGGCAAAAATCAAAGTCTGTTGATGACCATAAAATTTTCCGTGAGAAGAACAACTATGCAAGACCTCAAATCGCACTGGCTCGGACAGATCAGTGCAGAGAGTGGCTCACTAAAACCAAAAGTGAACAAATGAAATCTTTGTATCGTATAGCAAAACAAGCAAAGCGTATGAAAAAGACATAGTTGGTGCCTCATGTATCAAAAACGACAAAAATGAGATGGCTCTTGAACAAGATGAGATCAAGCTACAGTGGAGAGAATACTTCAACCGTCTGTTAAATGAAACAAATCCTATCAATGTCAACTTTGACGCTTCACCCATCGAAGGCCCTATTCCAGACATCACTGTAGAGGAGCATACAGAAGCTCTGAAAGCTATGAAGGATGGAAAAGCAGCAGGGTCCTCTGGACTCACAAATGACATTATCAAAGCATCTGGTACTGCAGGTATCCAAACGTTACTACAACTTTGCAGTGAAGTGTGTTGAAATTGCTCAATGCCGACTGAATGGGACTATAGCATGGAAATGATAACAGCCCTCCATGAGCACACGCAGGTCGTTGTGCAATTTGGAGGATCTGTTTTTGGATTGTTTTCCATAAACAGTGGAATGAGATATGGATGTGTTTTGGCATTAACACTCTTTGGTATCTTTTTTTGTTGTCGTTTCCACTGCTTTCGATGCCATGGAAGATAGAGTATACATCCAAAGTAGATTTGATGATAAATTATTTAACCTGGTTCGACTTAAAACTAAAACAAAAAGAAGACGTTCTTTTTTAGAGAACTGTTGTTTGCAGATGATGATGCTCTAGTATTTCACTCATTTGAGGGACTGCAAAATCTCATCGATGCCTTGGCAAATACATGTCGAGGATTTGTGCTTACCATAAGTCTTACCAAAACCGAAATACTTTCCCAAGGTAGAAACGAATTACCGGTAATAAACATGAGTGATCATACTCTTAATGTGGTAAATCAATTTACGTATCTTGGGTCGACAATTGCAAACAACTTAAATCTGGACATTGAGCTTTCAAAATAAATTGCAAAGGCCTTAGGTCTCATGTCAAAACTCAAAACTTTTAAATCGTGTTTGAAAAAATACTAAACTTACAACAGTTACCGAAATACTTGTTCAAAAATTGATTTTGTGAATGTCGTGCATTGATTTATAGGGAAAGATTAAAATACTGTAAGTGTTAAAAAAAGCCAATACATGCAAAGATACGCTGGCTCGGGCAAGTACACCGTATGTCAGATGAAAGAATTTTTAAAGATATCCTTTATGCCAAGCTGGTCAGGGGTAAAAGAACAATCGGTCGTCCAAAATTAGCTTACAGAGATGTCTGCAAGCAAGACATCATGACTTCAGACATTTATGGGACCTGTGGGAAGAGATTGTTCGGGATTGAACAGCATGGAGACAAAGTGTTTGAGATGATATTATGGCGGGAGAATCTAAAAGATCTAAAGCTGCCTCTGGCAGGTGCAAAAGAAAAGCACTGTCATCTCTCAATCTTTCAGAAAATTCCTATTGTTGTCTTATTCTTATTGTTCTGTGGTAGAGTTTGTAACTCAAGAATTGGTCTGTTCAGTCACAGAATATCATGCAATAAATGAAAAGGAATCATAAAGTGTGATACTGCTGGGCGCGTCTATTGTCTTTCGAGACAGAAAAAAGCCATATAAAGTAATTTTATCATTAGAACAACACATCCCAAAAAATTTTCTAAAAATTTAAGACAAGGTAAAACAGGTATTTTCCCAATAATTACGTCTTTGTGATTGAGGTAATTCTCTCCATTATTATAATTAAATGCTACTAACATTGAGTCACATTTTTTTCTTTTTTGAATCATAGTTGAGCGGTTTGCCGCAAATCGGGCGGTTTGTTAGGTTGTCTCAGAGGCTCTAAAGGTTGAAGATCTGTAGCGCATCTCCAGAAGCCGTAGATCACGCTTTCATTTACTTTCCGCTGATCCCGTAAATCCATCAACCTGGATTGACGTTCTTCTTCCGTTTCTACTGATCTGGTGATTGCAGCTCTATCACGTAGTTTTTTCAACTTTGACTGGCGTTTTTCCGTTTCTGCTGATCTGAAAATTGCAGCTCTATCAACCTTGACTGGCGTTTTTTTTCGCTTTGGTTAATCTAAAAATTCTATCATGCAATTTCATTAACCTTGTTTAGCGTTTTTCAGTTTCTTTTGTTCTGGAAGTTGCAGCTCGATTATGCAATTCTATCGATATTGACTGGCGTTCTTCCGTTTTTGCAGCTAGATATAGCATTTCTGTAAGCCGTAAATCACGCTTATCTATTGATTTTGCAGATCGTTTTACTAATTTTTGTTTTGTTTTAGGCAATTTTCTACTAAGTAAAATTTTTTTCGGCGGCATAATAATATTAATATTACCAATGAACTGGTGTATATAGGTATGTGAATGCAATGAAATGACGTTATTCTGCGATTTCAAAACAACAAGGTACGTTTTGAAAACAAAAACTAAGGAAACGACTACACATAGTTTTTAGCCTCTGAAGCAAAAACCTGTGGGTGAAATTTTACCAATTTTAGAGGAACAACTTTTTTTATAATCTATACAATCAGTGAAAATTTTATTACAATCTCTTTGCGGTTTATGAGTCTATAGCCTATACATATTTCATTTACATATACGTGTTTTAATCTAACCACCCAGGTTGCATAAAGGACATAAGAATAAATGATTTTTTGTTACCAGTCAGTCAGACAGAAATTTCAAAAGCATCTTTTATTATTAACAGTTTGAAAAATGTTCTTCCTGGATGCCATGATTACGATTTTTGTTCAAATTTGCAATGCATTCTTCCGCTCATTTGTGTCAGTCGGTGGAGACACGCTGAATGCACGTTAGTTTTAAATTGTTTACTAGTTTTTCACTAATGTTTTTCCAATTTTTGTTTTATATTTCACAACGTTAAAAAATTTTTTTCTAAATGATTTCATCTATTTTTACGTTATAATTTTAAAAAATTTCGTCGATTTGCACCTCGTAGCTTTCCAGCCCACTATGACCCCGTTATTTTATTTTGGGTGATTTAGTGCATACGTTAGATCGTTTTCATGTATTAAATGAGTGTGCCGTTAAACGATGATGCTGACAACAATTAATCTACGAACGTCATATGGGACAAGCCATCTAAATGAGTTAATAATATTATTACAATGATCAATTTGCATCTTACGTACTCTAACTTATCCCAGAAGTAACTGTCCCACGGTGCATTTGAATCAGCATAAAACAAGTCAAAACCGTTATACTCTTATAAGTTTGCTTTTGAGAACCTGATTTATTTATCTAAAACAGAATAAAACGTCTTTCTAAAATATTTAAACGGGCCAACTCTTACTTTGTTCATTTTATTTCGATTGAATTTACTCCCATTCTGGACATAGACCTGATCGCCCACTTTAAATTCGTATTCTTGACGATTTTTGTTAACTCTATTCTTGTTTATTTCAAAATTTTGCATCGAATTCTTACTGACCTGTATCTATCTGCAACTAAATCGCTTTCTTGTAAGTCATCTGGGGTGATAGTTGACTTCATACCGTATAATAAGTATTCCGGTTCGAATTTTGTGGAACTATGAGTTGTACGATTGTATTCTTTGACACATTCGTCTGCAATGACGGACCATGCCTGTTTTACACCACTGTTAAGTTTACATCTTATTCTATTTACAAGTGCTTGGTTTAGTCTTTCATTTAGTCCATTTGATTGTTCAACTTGAATTTAAAAACCACTTGAATGTTCAACTTGTTGAGATACAGCATGAGTTCGGTAGAATTAATTCTGGTGTATTTTAAGTATTTTAATGTTATTTTTCTTAGCAATCGGAAAAGCAATCTTGCACATTGACTTTTTGTAATGGAGATCCAAGCATATCTACTAAAATAGTCCACTAAAATAAGCATATATTTATTTTGTGATCTATCACCATGAAAACCACCTACTGTATCAATGGACATAATTTGAAATGGTTCTGTTGCTGGTCTTAATTTTGACATTAATTCTATGATTCTATTTTTTCTGGTTTTGTTCTCTAAACATATAGTACAACTTTTACAAAATTCTTCAATTAATTGATCAAAGTTTTTAAAATAATAAAATGGTCTTATTTTCTTTCTCAATTTTCCAGCTCCAATATGTCCATATTATTCATGTACATATTTTATTATTCTTGAACAAAATTTATCAGAAACAAATATCATCGATTTGTCATTCAATTTTTTGCAAATAATACTATGGCGTTTTTCAGTTTTCTTGTCATTCTTTAATTCAGCCATGGTATCATTTTGATCATGAAGAATTTCAGGTCTTTCAATTAAATTGACAACTTGGACTGCATCATCATTTTCAAAGTTTTTCAATGCTAGTGATTGAGAAAGTAAATTAGTCGATATATTTTATTTTTTTTTCTTATGAATAATTTTGAAGTTGAATTGAGATAAATAGTGCACCAAATCGCCCAATATTTCATCTGTTCTACTTTTAGTTTTTAGATTTTCTTGAGGTTTGTCGGCACTACAAACAACAATTTCACGACCAATCAAATAATATTGCCAGTATTTTATTACGTCTTTGATAGCTTTCCATTCAAGATGGATGATGTCCTTTTTTTTCTTTTTCTGATATTTTTTTTTGAAAAGTGTTCGACAAGATGTAATATACCATCAGAATGTAGTTGTTTCAAAGTAGCTCATATTCCTTTATAACTGGCATCAATTTTAACATAGTTTCTTTGGCTTGATCGTAAATGGCTAAAATTGGTTGAAAACATAAATATTCTTTTATCAAATAAAAACAATTTTCACAGTTTTGAGACCAAATGAAACAAAACAATTTTTTTCAAAAGCGTATGCAGCGGTTCAAATTTTAAGCAATATTTTCAATATATTTCAAGTAGAAATTAATAGATCTTAGCATACATCTAACTCCTGTTTTTTATTTGTTGGATTCTTAAGATTCTTGATGGCGATTAAATTTTCTTTAGCTGGTGCTACTTTATTTTCGTGAATAAAATGTCCAAGATATTTAACGGTTTTGGCAGCAAACTTACATTTATTAAATTTTAATTTAAAACTTCTTCAGTGATAACCTGCAAAAAATTTTCAATATGTTGAATGTGTTCTTCTCAAGAACACGAAAATGTAAGAATGTCATCAATACAGTTAATGCAGAAATTGTCTAAGGCTTGATTTACGGTTAAGAAATGAGATTTTTCATTAAAACCTTTTAATAAATAAATGGATAAATTTTTTTGCAAATAAGTTTGGTTTTTTGAAAATCGTTTTATTGTGTTTATGTATAGGCAATGTAGATTTTAATAATCAAACCATTATTGATAGTAATGATAATATCAATTTTTGATAGAAGTTGCAAGAAATTTATCACAAATATTTGAGCTTTCGCTGCTGAATAAATAAACCTTACAACATTTTTTGAAAGGTGTCCTAACGGTCACTTAAGAATAGAAGACAAAAGAGAGTGCAGAAAAGTATCATTTTGTCATGAAACTGATAATTTAATAGATGTTGACTACAAGGAAGATGGAGACTTATGTGGTCAACAAGTGCTATCAGATTGTGATGGTAAAGAAGGATACGATGAGCATTGTTTCATGATAAATGAAGAACTAACGACCTCAAAAACTACCAAACTACTTCTGTTTGTCTTTATCTCCATTGTCATCTTTATTGGTAATAAATAGTTCTTTACTTCCATTTTCCATAGTAGTCAGGATATTCAAAATTTTTAAAATATCCTAAAACATTATTTTTAATAATTTAATTGATACATTTTTTATGTTGTTCTAAGTATATCAATAGTTAGTTTTTCCAAAATAAACGATCACAATTTATATGTTATAGATTGAATAAGTCAATATAGATAATTTTAATAATAACGATTATAATAATAAAGATGGTTTTCAAATCTAAAATTTTTTGAAGTCATTTGAAACATTGTTAAAGTGAGGGAATGCATGTTCCAAGCCTGTTCTTTTGAGGGAACTATTCAAGCCGCTAAAACGTCTCCGTTCTCACTTAATATTTTATTTCAAATTTTGCATTTCTGACTATGTGTTTTTGATCTAATAGGCTCCGACGATGGTTAACTCCGAAACAGTACTGTCAGCCAAGCTCAATAATAATTTTCCTCTCAATAAATATGAATTCAACAAACTCAGAAGTGTTGAGGTTTTAATAAAAAAAGATTATAAACGCACGCTGGGCAACCATTTTTAATGACATTTGTATTAAAGAGAGCCTCGTTCCTAAATAGATATATATATATATATATATATATATATATATATATATATATATATATATATTGATGGAAATCACAGCATTTTCCGCTTTAGTTACCTTCCTGTTTAGTTTTTCAATTTTTCTAACTGTTGATCGTAAATCGATCTTCGTTTGCGATGTCTATGGTTTACTCGACATCGTGTTGTGGATTTTCAACCTCTAAATTTTCTTTTATAAACTAAAGTTTTTGCTCATTTTCTTTCAATAAAACAATAATTAGTTTTTTCTGACAACGTTTTCAAAATTTGCAAAAGTTTTCGTTGCTCTATTACAGTTCGTTTTATAATTTATTTTTTTCTTCATCGTCGTCATAGTAATCGATTTTAATATCAAATTTCAACGGTTTTTTAATTCTAATTTAATTTATTTTAAATAATAATTTCATATTTTTAGCTAATTTAAAGTTTTTCAATTAAGTTTCTAGTTTTCTGTTTTATTAATTTTATTTTTTCATCCGTTTTTACTTTTTTCTACTAGTTACTAATTATTGCTCACATCCTTAATCGAATGATCTAATACACTTGCCAACAACTGCTTGATTTTCTACCCGACAAATTCACCTTCAAAAGACTGCTAAAAAATACTCTTTTCCTCAACAAAATTTGGAACCCAGATCATCACCAACATCAACACCTTTCCTCTTTTCTTCAATCGCTACAGCGCTCTACAACAACTTCAACATCAACACCCTCGGCCCTTTTCCCTCAATCGCTAGAGCAATCTACAACAACTTAAACATCAACACCCCCGGCCCATCTACTTAGCACTAATTCAATGTCAGCAATACCAGTAGTAGTTTCATTAACCCTTGAAAGAAGCAACCACCCCAGTCGACGCTTCTCGCCTAATCAACCAAATCTCATCTACATCAACATATAACTTAGCCAAAATCACTCCATGTCATCATCCACCCACCATCTATATTTTGAATGTCACTAGCGTTGTCAAGCCACATGCTATTGAGCATTTGAGATGTGATGTGTATCATCTTCACCCTGACATCATCATAATCACCAAGTCATGGATTAAGCCAGATCACCCTGATGGTTTGATTGCAATAGATGGCTGTACCCTTCAGAAAAGACCGCCCTGACACGCGGCGTAGAGGAGGCGTTGTTATCTATTTGAAGTCATCCATCTCATTTCAAATTCACATCATTTTCTCTCATGCTATCATGGATGCACTGGAAAATCTTTGTCTGAAATGTATTATTGAGAGTGAACCATACTTAATCTGCGCCATCTATCACCCACCAAATTATACGAAGTCCAGACCTTGATGGGTTACATCGATGAACTCTCCAACACTGCGTTGGAGAGCAACTCAAAACTCATCATTGGGGGTGACTTCAATCAACTCGACCATCATTCCATCCTTCAAACAGGTCTACACCCTATATCCTGAGGTCCCACCCACCTAGGTCACAACCTTGACAGAATATTAATGTACACCTGGACATCACTCACACTTATAGGTCACACGTTTCAATACATCATCTTGGGGTGGTTGCTGCTTCTCCGCCTCCACCAACTAACTTAACATCGAGAAACAACACCACGAGAAAAGTCATCTCATTTCGCCGTCGTCATCCTTTACAGAGTAGTGCTTGCCTTCAACATCTCAACAACATCGACTTCAATAACATCTTCGATTTCAACATCACCACCAACAACAATACTCTACCAGCAAATTTTAATAATAATACTATTAATTTTGTTATTATGAAAAATAACAATGATAATAATATTCCAACTCATAATAATAATACTTGTAACAATAATAATAATATTAACAATG